AGCATGAATCAATCCTACTTGAATGTGATCTTATGTTACATTGAATCGAATTGTAGAAATTTCTAAACACTAGACAGGATGTAGAAATTTCTAATCGATTAGCTGAAATTTCGAGGAATCCCGAAATTTTTATCTTCAGTTCATATAGGTCTATGTTGTTTGTGTAATCATTTTAATTTGCACGAAGGCGGAGGAGAAGAAACTACTCTCTTGTTCAGTTCTGTAGTAGAGATGGGGTAGAAAGTAGAATCGGTGAACAAGTCTCTGTTCAGTTATAAGCTCTCAAAAAATTCAGAATCGGTACGCAGTGTGGAGGGAGAGTGAAAGAGATATTGTATTGAATTAGTTCATAGACGGTGATGCATTTTGGCATGTGTCTGTTGCTGTGGTTTAACTCCAGGAAATAAGATTGAGTTTTAAGGGATCGGTATGTGGATGCTGAAGTGCAGCAGATTTTGCTAAGCATTGGGTACAGTGGGATGAACAACTTTTATCTGAGGAATATAGTCAGAGGGTTTCCACGTTATGTTATTGTAATTTGGAATAGTAAACTTCATACTGATAAATGAAAGATTCATTCGGTTCTCACTACCCAATTAATTGAGTTGATTTGAAGCCTCTTCGAATTTGTTGCCGCTGATTTTATGTAATAAGTATCTGTTATGCGTCTTCCTGGGAAAAGTAAAACGTTTTGATTGTCTTCAGGTTACTTATCACTTTTTTCACTGGAAGAAGGGAACACCATTTGCAGATGACCAGGGTATTTACAACGCACTGACGTGGTGGGAGCAAATAGACAATGGCAACCAGCTCACTCGAAACAGAAAGTTTCTAACTGTCGTGCCTGTTGTGTTGTAAGTACTTCAAGTTTTTCTTTATAAGCCTCCAGATCGCTTTTTGGATAAATTATAGAATTTTGCCAATAGTTCTCACTCCTCGCACATAAACACCCTTTACTACCAAGTGAAAATGAGTAAACTAGACTAGAACTCGAAGTGCTCACTTAAGGGACTTAAATTGAGGGACAACGGAAGGACATTGTAATTAGGGCTGCATTCACTTCAATGTATTATTGATTACAACAGTCGTTTCCAGACCAACAATTAAATATAGTGTCCCTCAATTTAAGTCTCGTAGGTGAGTGCTTCTGTATATAGTCATCCATTAAGTTTGATTCAACATTGCTGTTATACAGAAGTTGCATTTTTCTGGTTAGATTTAATTTGATCTTATGAATTATAGAAATGCTTTTGTTAGATCAGAAAGATGCTGATGCGATATACAACTTTCTTTCTCACATGTGCTGCTACTGTATCGAATAATCCTACCTCGGTTAGACATCTGTTTCACTTATGCATCCATCATCTTTTATTTGGCAGGTACTTGATAGCCTCTCACACGACGGACTATCAAAATCCAATGCTCATCTTTAACACACTAGCAGTTTTTGTATTGGTAGTTGCAAAGTTCCCAAACATGCACAAGGTTCGTATATTCGGAATCAATGCTGATCACTGATATCTCTAAGAGATCAAGCATGACTGTAGTTCTCTTGGTCTAATCGTATTGGCATTCGGACATAACGGTAAAGTCCCTGTTGAAATGTTGAAACTGGAAAGAGTGTATTATTTTTTTTGAAGGAAGTGAATTTTCTTACCCCTCCACTGCTCTCTGTTACGTTCATTCATACCAGACGGATAGAAAAGCACTATCATTGCTGAGTTTCAGATTTCAGTGCACTTATTTATTTCCGGATACCCCGTATTTATACTCTCCCAAAATCCTTGGGTGTATTTTTACTAATTATGGCCGGTTCCGGTCCCCGGTGACGAATAATACTGTAGAAACATAATTGAAGATGGACCTTAGTCTCCATCTTGGTTCAGTTTTCTTTCTTCGTCTGTAAGGTGCTATTGGGTGGATGGACTCAATTTGTTTGGGCAGATTGGGATTATTGAGATGAAATTTCACGACCCTTGTTTTTTTCTTGCATTTCAAAAGAGAATTTGAAATTGACATCTCATATTTTAAATATAAGGTAGCCATCAGATGTGTGACAACATCAATAGTTCAAATTTAACTCATAAAATCTCTCAATTTTGCCCTTTAACTCCTCGACAGTGTGATCGATGTGGTGGATTAGATAAGACCAAAATACATGACTGTCATACCCACGCTTTACCCCCTCTTTTATTAAATTATAATTCTCTACTAATTAATAAAATATTTATTGTTAACCAAAATCTTCTGAAATTACAAATTTAACCACCTAATTAATACAAAACATGAATAAGAAATATGGGGCAGAAATGTAAATTCACACAACCAAATTTTGCTTTTTTTTTTTTTCAAAGCCTCACCTATATGTAATCATAATATATTTCTAATTAAAAAAAAAAAAACTTCTCATTCCCACATTCTCTATCACTCTATTCCTCTCTCCTATTTCAATCAAAAAAAAAAAAAAAAAAAAAAAATTCTCACACACTTTGTGTGTGCCCATATGCTAGTAATTTATAACACGACGTGTTCTAATTAAGTTCTAACATGTCATTTGGTGAGCAGATTTGATGAACGTAATTTTTCCGTGTCCAATAATAACGGTGCTCATTTGATCATGCATGCATCTTTATCCTATGAGTTAGGTTAAGGGAATTATAGGTTTGAATGAATGTAAAGAGGGCAGGTAGATGTTTCACGCATTGCCAAAAACAAAGGTTGCTTCTGTGGTTTTAACTCAAGAAAGGTAAGAGATAAAATTGGAACATCTTTTGTTTATTGAGAAAACCTAAACACAAAAACACAACACACACACACACACAAGAATCCACCAACAACATTTGATCAATCAAATCCACTTTCCACTTTTTTTTCTAATTTTTTATTTTAATTTTAATTGATATTTTTGTGTAAATAGTTGGGATGGCCAATTGATTTTTCATTTGGTGGTGATTAACTTTAGGAAAATGGGTTTGTCACTTTCATTGTCAACTTGGACCAAAGTGATCTCTATCTAATCACCAGATTTTCTCTGCTGCGCATATGGACGGCCGGGATTTAAATTCGGATGCTTAGGAGAGCAAATCTGCTCTAATGACTATGGGCATGTTTGGATTCCCAAAAAAGCCCTTGGAGAAACCTAAGTTGGATTAACGTGTTATAAATAAGCCGTGAAAATTTAGCCGGAAAATGACCTCAACCATGTTAAGGGAGGGGTGGTATGGTACTTTCAATGTTTAAAATATCCAGGAAATAGTCAATTTAATTGAAATATTTGAAAAAAAAAATCAAGGATTGATATGGAAGAGGGGTGAAGTTTGCACTTCACCCTATGTTGCATGAGATATGGAAAATCAATGAATATTGATGATATTTACTAATTCACTACAGAAAGTTTGCCATAACTTATTGTAGATTTCGAACTTTGAATTTTTGTTTAAGAAATTTTTTTTCTAATTCGATTAAATCTGAATGAGTTGATATGCCTAACCCATTGCAAGAAACAACAACTATGATTGCAAATATCAACTCACTTCTTATATATGCGTCACCAGTACCATCTTGTTTTTCCATAATTTTTGTCAAGGCAATATATATCGATATTGATCTTTCCATAAATTTACATGTCAATATTTTTACATATATCGATATTTTAAGGGATGTGCTATCTACACATCCCATGTTAATTTTTGTCTGTTGATTTTCTTCAATTCCTCCGATCCGACGACCGAAAACCAAAAAGGTGTGGGATAAGTAAAAAGAGGTGTGTGGATATTACACCCCTATTTTAAATACTGAATAGTAAATACATCTAACATTTGCTAGTTATTATACATTTACACATTTTTATATACTTTTTCTTCTTTTCATTTCTATTTATTTATAATCTTTAGAATGTATAAATTAAAAAACAAAACAACAAAAGAGGAAAATAGTGTGTGGGTTTCATTTGTTTTATATGCATACACACCACAAGTGGCTTACAGCAAGAAAGAATGTAAATTAAAAAATAAAAAAAATTTGAGAGTCCAGATCTAGATCAACTTAGTGGGGTGTATTATTCTTTCTTTAGCACACTTGCCAAGGGGAATGTTTGTGGGTCCCAACAAAGACAAAAAAAAAGTAGGGTTTGTCAGATCTTTCTCTCAAATCCTTCACTTGAGGAAAAAAAAAGAAAAGAAAGGGGTGTGGTGGCATGGAAGCAATGATATCATTCCAGGAAATGGGGCAATGTAAGGGAGTCTTCTGAACTGTTTGGATATGTGTATTTCGTCAGTAGGTGAGCTTTTGGTTGAAGTAGGAGTTTTAGTGGTTCTAATTAGAACATGGAGTGAAGCTAGAAGCTGCTTTTTTTAAAAGTTGTTTATTACCAAGTCGTGTGGAACGCATCAGAGTTCTTACCTGGGTCTTCCGCTAGCAAGCTCTCCCCTCATATTCTTCATGGAGATCTTTGTGTAATGGCTTGAAGAATCTCTGTTTCTGAATAAAACCTTAAACTAAAATCCTGCTAAAACAACTATATTTACATATATATATATATATATATTTATATTGCATCCACTTCAGAACCTTACAAATTAAGTTGCAAAATCTACATATTATTATTATACCAAGCCAACCAATTAGTGGCACATTACAGTGCAGAGGGCTGCCCATTGATTTTCTTGTAGTGATAGAACTGGAAGAAATTACATGAAATATTAAAAAGGGCACCTGGTTATACACAGTGCATGCCATATGCCTCTTTTTTTTTTCTACCCTAAAAAAAATCTGGGCTGGTCTTGATTGATACTATAGCTTCTATCTTCCTTGGCCTTTTTTCTCAAGAACACTGCTTGGCTTCTTACGTATACTTACATATAAAGAAGAATGGTGGACTCCTTACATATAAGAAGTCATTCTGAAGCCATATCTAAAATAAGCTTCAAAAACGCAGCAACATCTACTTCAAAGAAGTAAAGGAAATTCCAAGAAAAGAAGAGAAGGAAAATAGATGATAATTAAAGAAAACCCATGTATCCTATCTGTTAGTTAACTTATGAAGAAATCCAAACATTAAGTCACCCACCACCCAAGATTAATAAAGAGTTTAAAACCACAATTAAGAAAAACCCATTATGCAAATCTCTTCTTGTAATTACTAATTACCATGATCCTCCTCCTAGCATTCCAGTCCAATACCCAGCTGAATCTCCATGCTCCTTGTTCTCCTCATTAATCCCACCTCCTGAAGGAGCTTGCTTCAAATCTTCAAATGGAAACAAAAGCCTCCCACTGCTCTCTTGAACATGATGACCTTGAAGACTCCCATACCCACTTCCAAGCCCGTCAATTGAAAAATTAAGAGTTGGCTTGAAATCTTGCATGGGATTAATTAGTCCAGAGGGACTATTATATACAGTATTGCTGTTGTTGTTGGGGTCTGATGAGACTGGCATAGGCATGAAGGAGTTCAAACCCCTAGAAGTCAACCCAGTGAGAAGCTCCAAGGCTGAAAGGTGGGATGTTGTTGTAGTTGTAGTAGTAGAGGTTGGGGAAGAAGAAGAAATGTGGTTTTGCTGCTTGTTGGTGTTTTCGTTATTGATGTTGTTGTTTGGAAATTGTTGATGATGGTGATTAAGCAAGTGATCAGAGATAATAGTCCTGAAATCTTGATTAGTGGATGGGAAAGTGAGGTTCAGATCTTGGGATTGGTTAATTTTAGGGTTTTGGTGAATCAGATCAGGAAGCCTTTTGGATGCTGAGGAAGAAGAAGAATTGTTAGAAGTTGTTGATGGGGAATTGTTTAAGGATGAAGATCTCTTGTTCTTCCTTGAACCACCTCCAACTGGGATGTTTCTGAGGGACCCACCTTCAGTCCAGTACCTTCTGCAAGTCTTGCAGAAGTACCTTGGTTGTGTGAGGCTGTAGTTGTTGTAGTAGCAGAATTTGGTGTTGGTGGAGTTGCACCTTGGACAGTTTAGGGCTTGTTCCTTCTGAGGCCTTGCCTTCCTCTCTAAATTATTAGCTGCTGCAGGCTTAGGGCATGAGTTTGTCACTATCTCATCTATTGGTTTCACCACAATTCCCTAAAAAAGCCAATAGCAAAAAGAAGAAGATAAATTTCAGATCAAACAAAAGAAATAATATTTGATCAGTAGTAATACTGTGAAATTAGAGAAATGGCAGAAAGACAAGAAAAACAAAACAACTGAGGAGCTGCTTTTTTAAATTACACCTTTTGAAAATTGTATTAGCCAACAACAAAAGAGAGAAACAAAAACAACAGAAGAAAATTGGGCTCTTTTTTCCTTTATCACCTAAACAAAAGGTAAAGTGGAACACAATGTTGAAGAACTGATAAAAACTAAATCCAAAAACTGAGTGGGGACTTGCACTGAATACCATATCATATCAGTATCCTTACAGAAAGAAAAGAGGAACCAAAAGGCCATTAAATTCATATATATATGTCTAAATTATTCATAGAATTAAAAAGAGGAAGCGGGAAAAAGGTTTGATATGAAAAATGAAGAAAATCTGTCTACCTGTGGCCACTGAGCAGTATCCATGGCTGAAAACTTGAGTGCACAAAGAGGGAGAGCTATAGGAAGAAGAAAACTGTTTTCCTCAAAAGGAGAGAAAAAACCACTTTTCTTGAAACTGGTTACAAAAGCTGGAAAAGAAAAGATTGTTTTTGAGATGGTTTTGTTTGTGGCCGTTCCGTGTATGTATGGCCCTTGCTTTATGTGTGTTGGCTAGTGTACGTGAGAGAGGGAGAGGGAGAGAGAGAGAGGGTTGATTTGTATAAGGGAATTTTAAGGAAAAGTTTACGATAATATTTATTTTAACGAAAAATTATATTTTTATACTAAAAAATCAAATCTGGTATTATTCATTTTACCTTTTATTTTGTCCTTATTGTTAAAACTCAAAATTTTCAAACTATTTTCATTAGTTTTTCTTTTGTATAATCTAATATAATAGGTAATTTAGGTCGACAACTTTTTAAATTATATTTGTAAATTATATGATGGGTTACTAATAGAAAATAAACACATTAATTAATACTATTAAGTAATAATTTAATTATCAACAATCAAATCATATAATTTACATAGATGAGTCTCTCTAGAATTATTATACTAATATTTTTTTTATTTTTTCAAAATATTTTATTCCTGACCTTCCGAGGGAGAATATTTTTCTGCAGATTTAGTAATTAAAAATGATGGTCTGGTGACAATATAAAATCAAACTTTGTGCCTTGTGGGTTTAAGCTTTGGATGTACATAAATTTTTTGGTAGAGGGGCTTTTGCCCTTTTCTGACCAGAAAAAACGGCTTGCTAGTCACATTTTCTCCGCAGTCCATTCAATCACCCTAACCCTAGCTTAAGTTCTATTTTTATTTGTAAGCTGTTTTCCGTTATATAGATAAATAATGTTTGTTAGCTAGCATGCATGCACTGCACAGAGAAAGGAACCCTAATACCACATATAAATAATCCACATTTTTTTGTTCTTCGAAAGCTAAATGGGTCAACTTTTTTTTTTTTTTTGCAAAATTAAGGCAATGGACTTGTCCAAGTTGATTTAGGGTTTTTCTGATGAATGCGACATATATAACTAAGCTAGTTAACTAGCTACCAGAGCTTATATAGATACTACATATGTCACTATAATTTGGGGGACAACCAGACTCCAATAATTTTTCTATATCATGATGTAAAAACCATTTATGCATGAAGCATCTAGAATCACTCACCATTCATTTCAAGGCTTGAATATGGTAATCCCTGTGGTAATGCTACTTGCCACATGGGGTCATAAATATTATAGTACCAATAATTTCTGTAGCACAATCAAGAGTCTAGGTTAATTTGCTAAGAGTTCATGAAATTAAAATGGGGAACAGCACCAACTGAAACATTTTTAATTTTTAGCCACGGGAAGTGGTCTAGTGAAATTACTGTAGAATTCCAAGTTAGGTATGCTCCTTGGTCGTGGGTTTGAGGCACTAAGCTAGCAAAAACAAGGGTGTTTCCCTAGTTGAAAGCCTTGAGGGGACGTTGTGCCATTTGATTGTGGCCAGGCGTGGGCTGAAATGCCTTTAGCCTTTTTGGGTTTCTGTGGATTAATTAGTCTTACCTTTCGGGGTGTGGGATACAAGATACCTCAGGCTTTGGGAAAAAAAAAAAACCTTTCATTTTTTAGTTAAACTAGACAGTTTCGAACTTTAGACTTAGCCTACTCGTACTCATCATTCTATCTGCCCTATCATTGAGTCAACCTCAATCAAATGACCCCCTTTAATAAGTGTCGAATAAAAAGTTAAACAATTTGAAGTCTGTGATTATTTTTCGGATCAAAATGCCCTATGTTTAGCGCTATATCCGAGTCTGTAAATATATGTTCAACTCTTCATTCAACCATTTGTATACAGGAACACAAATTCAACCATTTTTCTTACCCAAGCTATGTAGAATTATAGAGTTTAGCAACTCAGGTAAGAAACGTTTACGGCTCATATTAAAAGGGTGCATTCATGACCACTTAAAAGAGATTCTGATATATTTCAGCACATGACATTAATCATCTTATTCTTGTCACACATGAGGTCTTGCTAATTAAGGAACAAAGTAGCTCTGTGATAAATTTGAAGACGTTAATACTTCCACTTTATATAGATACCATTCCCAGTGCAGGGCATGGTCACACTCTCCCTAAAGACTTTAGAATTTTTTATTTTTGTTTCACCAAGGTTATTTCTTTAGATTTTTTATTTATATTTTCACAAACTTATGTTACTCTATAACTTTAATATTTCCTTTTTATATTGATACTAATTCACTTCAACGCTAGAGTAAAAGCCTTCTCTGATAGATTTGTAATAAATTTGATACCAAAATGGATTGTATTAAGCATAGAATGCAGGTATGAAAAGCGACTTGACTACATAACTACTGGTTTTGCATCTCCTCTTAAATGCCGACTTAACCAAAACCCATCTCTTTCCAAAAATGACTCTCTAACATTAGCTTTGAACATATTACATGCCAGCATTCACTAATAGCATTCACTTAATTTCCAATTTCTAGCTACGACATTAATTCAGGAGATGTATATCCAACTACTACAATTTCGGGTATTATGATGTTCTGGTCCTACATTTTGAGGTGAAATATGGTGTTGTAATTGAGTACATTAAGATTTAAAATAGATAAAACTCAAGAAAAGCATAATTTTTGTGAGCTGTTATATGTAATAGTCAATTTCTTTAAAATATGTCCCACGACTGTGATTCCACGTCAATATAAATCTAAGTTTGTATAGCTATAGCCGGTGCTCTAAAAATCACTAGGCGGTAGTCGGACCGGTGCTCAGTAGTTTCGGGTGTGTCTAGATGGGCCTGGGCGATTTTTTTTATTTATTGTAAGCAAATTTATTATATAACTTATAATAAGTTACAACAACTTAAAATATTAATACACTATAATCATCAAATTTTATGGTCCAAGGTATTAGAGAATAGGGTCACACACCAAAAAATATACAACTTATATGTGGGAGTTTACATCTAATATCAACAAAACATTTTTTGATAAACTCAATAACTAGAAATAGGTGGTTAAGTTGAGAATATCAGTGATGTTGGTGGAGCATGCTGAGCCTATAAAAGTTTATTATGATATCTGTTGATGCACAAAATCAGGGAGGACTTTGGTACAATAGAAAATATTAAGTTTGTGACATTCGCTAGATTGCTCCGGTCACTAGTGTGAATAAGTATGTAAATGGATAGGGACAGGGAAGCAAACACAAGATGTACGTAGTTCACCCATATTGGCTACATCCATGGAGTAGAGGAGTTCTCATTAATTGTGAAGGGTTTACACAAGTACATAGGTTCAAGCTCTCCTTTAGTGAGTACTAGTGAATGATTTAGTGCAAATGACATTAGGAAATATTGTGAGAGAATGATCTCTATTTATAGAAAAGAGTTTCTAGTTTAATTCTAACATTGACACGTATCGTGTTGTGATTGGCTTCTGATGTTGATATCTTTGATGGTATAACGTTGACCGGTGCTCAGTAGTTTCGGGATTGGTCAAGTATGGTACAAACAGTGCTCCCCTAAGTTCCCGAGTGAGGGAAGCTCATCGGTTGGGGACTTGCAAGATCCAAGCCATTGAGTAATCACGAAACTTCTAAGTACCGAAGTGTGGTATCATTTTCACTTGCCTTATCTGTCTCATATGTAGATGTGGCATCTTCTCTGGAAGTACTTTTCCTTCATCCAGAGGTGGTATCTTTAACCGATGAAGATGCACAAGGTAATGTATCAATTTCACTTAAAGCTTACATGTAGTTTCGGGGTTGGTCAAGTGCGATACAAACCCTATAGTAGGAGTCCCCCAAGTCGCCGAGTTAGGAGATTTGTCGAATGAGATAACAGACAAGGTAAGCAATCAGACTTCTAAGCAAGCAACCTAGATTGGAGGTTCAACTTCGGCTTCCGGTTGATTGTTCTCCTTCTCCTTGTGTCGTAAACAGCAACAAGGATAAGGAGAAGCAAATGGAGAAGGGATGATATGAGATACTTTTGCTTTTGAAGAAGTAACTTTCCACAGGCTTATTCTTGAATTAGGCTGAAGGGTTTTCTGGTTTCCTCCAAAGTATAATGTCAACTCAAGAATTTGAGGGTCAAAACAAGTCCATCAAATCTAGAGTACGTTCGACCCTGATGATATGGGATACTTTTGCTGTTGACAAAGTAGTGGATGTATCGGCATGTGTTCTGTTACCCTTTTCTCCACATGCTTCCTTGTAACCTTCTCACTTGCCCTATTTGTTCCTCAGGCAGATGTGGTATCTTCTCTGGAAGCATAAGATGTTGAAGATGAGTACTTGAGAGCAATGCCAGGTAAGTAATCAGCCAAGAGGTTCCAGTCAGTCAGTTCCTGACTGGAAGCTTGATTCCAAGTGTTGACCGATTGCTCTATTTCTCCTTGTCTTGTAGGTAAGAACAAGGCCAAAGGAAAAGACAGGGAAAAAACATGATATGGGATACTTTTGCTCTTAACCCTGATGATATGAGATACTCTTGCTCTGGTATGGCTTGTTTGCAGAGGTATTATCGGGGGAAAAAGAAGCTGAGTATTTCGAGAGACTTTGCTGAGAGTGCCATCTCGGATGTGAAGAAAAGTTGAGCTTTTTTTTTTATTTACAGGTTTGCCTGGCTGTGAAGGATGGAGGTTGACATATATAGGAGTTTCCCTAACAACAAGTAGTAGTGCTATTCCTTTACCCTTCTTGGTCATAGCCCGAGTGAGGGAAGCTCCTTGGTTGGGGACTTGCAAGATCCAAGCGGCTGAGTAATCAGGAAACTTCTAAGTATCGAAATGTGGTATCGTCTTCACTTGCCTTATCTGTCTCATAGGTAGATGTGGCATATTCTCTGGAATACTTTTCCTCCATCCAGGGGTTGTATCTTTAACCAGTGGAGATGCACAAGGTAATGTATCAATTTGACTTGAAGCTTACTTGTAGTTTTAGGCTTGGTCAAGCGCGATACAAACCATGTAGTAGGAGTCCCCCAAGTCGCCGAGCTAGGAGATCTATCGAAAGAGGTGACAGACAAGGTAAGCAATCAGAGCTCCAAGCAATCAGTCCCAGATTAGAAGTTTGA